ACACACTCTCACACACATTTTTTTCTCTTCTGGGAAAAAATAAATAAATAAATAGATACAATCTGTAAAAGGTGCATACTGATAGAGAGAAAGACCCCCTTTTAGATACACACACTATCTCGCTCCCACTCGTACGCGCACGCACCCTGTACTAAAACGCAGACGCACACCCTCACACGCACAAATATAGTTACGCACTCGCACGCAAACACTACGCCCTGCTTCGATACTTAAAACCTCTTAAAATTCTCCTAAAATAAACCGAGCAAAAAATACATTTATAAGACCAGCACCCCGATTGTGCAAACAAATCAAGGATAAATTAAACCAATAACATCATGAATATAAAACAAAAAATAGTCATGGCTAGCCAGTTTTGCACAATATTGAACTGTTAAATACATAGTGGGCGTGGTCTGTAGAAAGAGTGTGTGGCAGCAAATCCAACAGGACTCCACGCTGAGAGGAAGAGGAGGGTCTCGGAGAAGGAAGTGAGGTTGATTGACGGCAGACCCCTGTGCGGATCCATGCTCGGAGTCTGTTCTCTTTTCAATCGGTCACTCCTGTTCTCTCGTGCACCCTGCCATCTCTGTTGCCCTGTTTGACAAATGCACGCCTCCCCGAGGGCTGAAAAAGCAAAAAAACAAAAAACAAAACAAAACAAAACGAAAACCCATCGATGGAGGGAGAGGGATGGCGAAATAACCAAAGAGGAGGGAGGAAGGATAGAGGAAGGAGTGAGGAATGGCGAGGTATGAGGCAGAAAAGGGGGCTCGCTGTCTCTGCTTAGCCACCCTGTGCAGCTCCCCGCTTCGTAATCGGGGCCGCAAGTGGCCAAACGAGGAAAAGCGGCGGAGGAGGCGGAGCCAGGTCCAGGTGACGGACCAGGTGAGTTTGTCTCTCGCTGGAGTCTCACTGACCAGCGGATAAAATAAGAGCTGGCTCGCTTCCTGTTGGCCAGAGTGTCTCTCTGCCTGTGGCCCCCTGTGGCAGCCCCGTTGAGGCTGTTGGAACCATCCCTCAAATCCTTCCCCCCCTTGGCTGGGGGTGGTGTGTCACCTTAATCCCACCCCCAGGCTGGCAGGGCTGTGCTCCAAGGTTCCTTAGCTTTGGAAGAGGAGGAGAAATGAGATTTCAAACAAGGGGTTTGTCTCAACCCCCTGTTTAACTCAATACAGCGCTTCATCATCATCAGTGAACCGAGAAGGAGGAGTTGACCTTTGACCTCGAGCGGTCAGATTGTAATCCTTAACTGACCCCTCCACAAGCTGCTCTGCTGTCCCCTACCTGGGGTCATGGCGGCCAGACAAACAACAATAACACAACACCAAAGTAGTAAATGAAAACATTAAACACACTATGTCGTCTACCTTTTTTCTTCATTCACGCCTTCCCTTGTCTTTTTCTTTTTCTGCTTGTCTCTACGTTTCGGCTCTTCACACTTTGAGGACATGATAAAACTGTGAGGCACTTTAGAGACACACTCAGACATGTGTGGAGAACACACACACACACACACGCACACATACACACACACACAAATAGAGAAAATCATAGATCACGCAGACACACACACACTCAGAGAGTACACAGTCTGGTATACTTTACTACAAACATCCACACACATACTAACTCATAGAAACCAACAGAGTCATAACCAGGTGTTTAAGGTTGCGTCACTGGCCGCCATCGTCCAGAGCGACACCGTGTTCATGTGTGTGTGTGTGAGTTGATGTGGGGACAGACAGATCCAGCCGTGGCGCTGTGAGGCAGCACTGACAAGCGTCGGTCTCTGATGATGTCAGAGGGGCCAGTTGGCCGATTTGAACCCGTTGAGTTGACTCCTACAAACTCGTCACGCACTCCATATCCTCGTCCTCCAACAGCCCGCTGTTTCTCTGTCGCGCTCCTCCGATCACCACCGAGCTTCTGTGGGACCCCTCTTCCCTCCCTGCCGCGTCCTCCTCCTCCTCCTCGTCTCGCGCCCTCCCCCTGGCCAGCAGCTCCTGCCGCTCCTCTATAGAGGACGGCCCGTGGATGGAGCCCCGGCTTCCTGTGGACTCTCCCCCACCTTCGCTGGGACTCAAGCTGGGCACTCGGTCCCTGTGTGTTGCTGCTGCTGCTGCTGCTGCTGCTGCTGCTGTGTGGAAGGGGAGGATGTTGCCGTTAGGGCTGTGCTGAGAGGTGGAGGAGGTGCTGGACGTGGCGTTTGTGGTGCTGTTGCCGTTGAGAATGTTGTTGGCGGCGTGCTCCATCTCCTCGATGGTCATGTCGCAGGCATCGGCCAACTCGGCTTTAGTCGCCTCGATGAACGACGGGTCCTGGGCGAAGTGACCCAAGCCCTCTGATATTAGCACCTTGAGAGGAAAATGGGGAAAAAGAGGAGTGGGAGCAAAGAGTAAGGTTTAATGTTTTATGGGTATGTTGCTAAATACAGGCTGAACTGAAGCCCTTTTCAGACATGGGACACACAACACTACTGGCTTCATCAGTCTGTTAATGCGATGGCGGTCTGTCATTAGGACGTCACTTTAACCTTCATGCTCCTCACAGCTTTATTCAGACATATGCGAGCAAAATATCACATGGTCACAATTGTGCAAGTGTCTGATCATCATTCTAATGTTTTGGAGACACTGGGGTCAGCATGGGTAGCTACTGCGTTAGCTATTGTAATTGAAAATAGTAAATTTTCCTTGTCTCTGGCTCATTCAGTCTCTCTTTGCCAGGTGTGTGAGACAGTCCATTTAGCTGTTAGTGTTTCAATTAGACAAAATAGAGGAGAGATTAAGATGCTGATTAAAAGGGAGAGACAGTATAAAAGTAGTGGAAAAGTCCCTTGGATAGCCTGGGAATCAACAAACTAAACCTCAACTGCTGTTTTCCGATTTAATTTTGGTGAGCATCATTTATCTAAGGTTAGTCTCTATATTTATTGCAGTAAAGTTTTATTTTTATGGACATTTCAGTTTGTAGCCTAACGGATGTGAAACTGTGGAGCAAAATGAATGAGAAAAGGGTGTTGGGATGTTGGCACACAAACTGTGTCCTTGGCTGTCTTTGGACCAAAATGAAATGTGGAAAAATCTTCCCCTAAATCGCCTCACACAACTTGGTGTAACTCTGGTTGTGTGTGTGTGTGTGTGTGTGTGTGCTTTTTCTTTAATGTGATTGTGATATATAAATGGGTCCGATTGAACAAGATTGCAACGTTTACAGAAAAGTGACCAGGGTGCTCGTTCATTCACAAAGGTGTTCAGTTGCTGTCAGATTAACAGAAAGGAGTCCATGTCTGAAAAGGGCCACAGAATAACCAACCGTACACACACATATACATGTACACACACTCACCGCCTCCACCAGACTTCCTGCACTGCCGTGAGACAGCGAGCTGGAGTCTTTTCCCAGTAGCGAGGGCACTGTGAGCGACACCGGCCGTGGTGCTCTTTGACTAGACGCTGACACGCTAGGGGTGGGGCTAGGACTGGGCACCCGGCTGTTCCCATTACTGTCGCTGTACCTAGAGGCAAGGCATCAGATTAATAAATGCATTATTGTGCCAAACTGTGAACTAGCAGCTATTTTTAGAGGCACTTAGTCTTACCAGGGCCCACAGTTGACAGAGGGCAAGCTGGTATTGAGCTTTTCATGGGAGTTGGAGCCCTCTAACCTCAGAGAGGGAACTCGCTGATAGGAGGCATCACTGCATTGGCCTGAAAAAGCAAAGACGGCAGAAGCAGCAGTGAGAAGAAGAAACCTATCTCAATGTGGAAGCTGTGATGCGACAGAAACACGTCCTTCACAGTTCTCTCTTCTGGTTTCAGTGACATGTTTTTCTTGCTCATTAAATTCAGGTGTAATTGTGCTTCCTGAGGAAATGGGATCCAATTTTATTTCGCAGCACTTGACAAACAGCGTTTTGGCCTTTGAAGCGAGCACAGGATGCGGTTGTACCTGTGGGACTGGCTGGAGGCGTGGAGCACAGCCGACTGAAGAGGGTCGGTGAGTGACTCCTTCTTAGCAGAGGACTCAGCCCTGCCACTGCCAGAGCCTGGAGGAAGAGGAGACAGCACAGGGAGAGGATTATGTCTGCAGAACAGAGCTGGGGTTTCAACTCCACATCCTGTATTTAAATTGACTTTACAAATGTGCTTTTAAGTGTAAGATTACCATGTGGGAGTCTACTACCTGATGATGTACAAGATGTAAGGGTACAGCTGTCTTCTGGGAGACATCTGGCCCCGATCGTCTCCGGAGACACTCCAGATGGAAGGACGATCTCCGCCCTGACACCACAAATAAACAGAATGCAAAAATACAGTTTAAAAGTGAGCAGCGTGTTCACATTTTATCCGTGCATGCGTGTCCGCTCACCCAGAGAAGTGGGGCAGAGGAAGACTCTCCTGGGAGACTGCCACCCTCCTCCTCCTCCTCTTCTGTCCTCTACCTCCTCTGCATCCTCCATGGGAGTCAGCTGCTTACAGGTATCATCGTGATACACCAGCCTAACAAGCGCACACAAAGAAACAGTCAAACCTCGTGAACTGATAAAACTTTCAGATTAAAGCGTGAATGTTTAACTCGGCAGTACATGTCGGAGGAGAGCGAGTGGTCGTCCTCGTGGTACTCCCTGTCGTCTGCATAGCTCTCATCGTACGTCTCCTCCGTGGACCCCTCCCCTCTTCGGATGATTGGCAGGCGGCTGTCACTCGAGTCCGAGCTACAAACAGACAAACAGGCAAAAACGACCAAACAAGCGAACAGACAGACAAAGACACAAAATGAACATAAACGCACACCACAGATGGAAAAACATGGGGACAAATATGCAAACAGATGTAAACACACAGGGGGAAAAAAAAGCAGCTGATTAGCAAAAAACTCAGAAAGGAGCTTAGGAGGAGGAGGAGGAGGAAGAGGAAGAGGAGGAGGAGAAGAAGGAGGAGAGCGAGAAACCCACAGAGGCTTAACTACTGCATGTAGGAAAAGGAAGGAGGAGAAGAAGAAAACGTCTGAGGAGAAGCGGGTGGGAATTACAGCTATATTGTTGAAGCAAAATGGTGAATAGCATTAAAGGCAACACCTGGAATATGATAAATAAGAGCAAGACTGAAGTTCAGACATCTTTGAAAAGCAAAGACATTATTGAGGGATTGCATCAGGTAATGTTGCTCACTAACCCTCAGAGAGCAGTATTTTAATGTAGGCCCGCAGGGAAATTAAGCAGGTACTTTTTATGCTGTTGTCATCACTCCAAGTGAAGGTCAATAAAGAATCAAAGGCTGTCAGTTTTTTTCTGTTCACCTGTTTGGAAGTGGAAGTGAAGACAAGAAAGTTCTATCACTGAAGCCCTAAACCCAGTGAAGGGTTTAAATTTAATCTTTGAAAAATTCACCTAAACTACACCATTTATCAGAACTAGAAACTGTAAAAAAATAGAACGACTTGACAGATTTTCAGCTTTAGGTTGTTGAACTACTCCTTTGTGACGTACTGCTTCATTGTAAATCTAAGCTTAAAATTGTGATATTTCACCAGTATTGCTCTATTTCGCACATCTTGTTTACATTCTTCAAATGTGAACCATCTTCACTGACCACATCCTGTGAAAAAGAGAAATTTCTGCACTCCTCTGCACAACTGTGACACCATGAGTGCCTCAGCTACAACTAACTGTCACGGAGAAAAAAAATTCTGGGACTTCTTAGCTGAAATGCAGGATGTGTGGAAACAAATTTAAAATGTAAGCAGTAAAATCAATCAATAGCATGTAGAGCAATTTCCCCCCAGTATTGCTAACACTTGTGGACACTTGGAATATATTGTATATGTTGATTTCAGGGTTTCTCCATAAATAAAATAAAAAATTTCCATGTTAGTGTTTTCCTGTTTTAGCCTTAATGGCATTCTAATTGTGTTAAGCTGCACAGAAGACATTTTTGAGTTCTCTACTCTCTAGCCGTGGTTGTATCGTTTCCATAGAGGTTCAGGACTTTGTGTTCCAGTGAAACATGAGTCCCCAGTAAAAAATACATGTATTGGGACCAAAAAAAATTCCCAAAACTGCTTTGGGTTAACAGGGTAAAAGCAAAACCGTACCCAACCCTGTGTCATGTTATATCCTCTTTGTTTCTCAAAGATGTCTTCCCTTCAGTCACATCTATTTCATACCCCAGACTAAAGCTTTAAGGAAACATCCTGACATTTGAATTTTAATCTTTTCTTCATCACCAGATTGTTCGTTTAAAAGCTGCAACATGTCAGCTTAGAAAAAAAAACACATCTGTCTACAGTTATGTTTCAAATTAAAAGTCAAAACCCACTGCCTGCTCTGCAGCACCCATTATTTTTAATGATGAACCCTTACAAATACACTAACTATTCTTTAATTATTTCCGGCAGAGGTACATAAACTTCTCCTAAGAACAGACTGGTGAAGAAAACTAAACAAAATTCAAAATGCCATGATGCCCATGTAATCAGCTATTTAAAGGTTCCACAGCAAACTCTGGGTTAGAACAGCATTTAATTAAAACCTGACTGAGACTGTTGACTTTGAACAAGCCTGCATGGAGGTTAACCTGTCTCTTAATCGATCAAATCCAAAGAGATAGTGCATCCCTGTAATGGAGCTCTTAATTCTAGTTCACTTAGTGCCTCTAAGTAGGCAAAGTGAATCAGTGCAACTCCATCTTTAACTTTTATTTAGGCACTCAGTCTTCAGTGGATCATAGTGCATGGATGCTGGCGAACACAATTTGTAAACATAAGTAAAGTTTAAAGAAGCTGCAATATTTATTAAAACCCCTAATAGAGAAAGAACATGAAAGGAATAAATAAAAAGGGTAATAACTTTGCTATTCTTAAAGAGGCTGTGCAAGCAGGAAGTCATGCAGTCATTAAAGTAAGTATGTATGCACTCAGTGAATTCCACAGTAATCTGATATTTTGGGACCAAAGTTTGCATTCGGATTTGTATGATAGCTTAAGAAGTGTTGGTAGACACAAATTTAAAAACATATAAGTGAAATTTCATTGAAACATTGTTTGTAGTTGTCAAGCTGTTGCTCTGTGTTGAATAGATCAACAGTGAGTTGCATTTGAACTACATTTACCACAATTGTACTCCAAATTTACGGAGCTATTGGACTCGAAATAGCAGGTAAGTATTTAAATATTCAATTTCTATTCAGATAAGGGACAAAACTGACATTGTGTCTAACCCAGACCTGCCATAAAATACAGTACAACGCAACAAAAGCAACAAAAGCCTCTGGCCGCACCAACAGTCTGTCTGTGGCTTTGGTAGCTGATTGTGTAGTAGCAGCATGTAGCCTGGCTTTTTGCTATAGCAACTAAAGCTTGATGTGCATAGCAACAAGTGTCGCTATAGCACCTTGACAGTTATGCTATTTTATATAGCATCATGAAATCTTTTTGCGCGCACTTAGGGGAGAAACAGAACACACACACACACACACACACACACACACTCTTTCTCTCTGTCTCCTGGCAACATACCGCATAAGGGTGTCATAAAAACACGTCCTGCTTGCCACCAGAAACAAAAGACAGGGAAAGAAAGCAGGTAGTATAAAGAAAGTGAAGTGAAATAGTAGAGTCATCACCCAAGTGTCATTCTGGTAAATCTGTTAACTAAATGTTTGTTATGATGGCCCGGAAGTGAAAGAGAAAAAATCTTGCCTCTGTCCAAAGCACAATAAGTCAACTCCAAAACAACACTTACATATAGTGTATGTATGTGTAACACTTGTTAAGATACAGATGTAAGATGGCGTCTAGCCTGCACTCACCTCTTTGGAGGAAAGCACCATGCAGATCTTGGCAGCAGGATGGGGGTGAGCGGCTGCCCCGTGTGCCCGTCCACAGTGCTTATGGACGGGCTTGGGAATCGACTGATGCCCTGCGCCGTCACCCCGGCCATGCCAGTGTTGTTGGCGTTGTTGATGTTGGCGTTGGAGCCTGATGAGGAGTAAGAGGAAGGGGTGAAAGTGGTGGAGTCCATGAGCTTCTCATGAGACGGACTCTCGCCTTCGCAAGGTGAGCCTTTCTGGCTGATATGCAAGGGACGCTGGGTGGTGAAGGACTGTGGGAAGGAGCTACGGCCGTCGCTCTGGTTGTAGTAGTTGACGTGGTTGCCAAACAACCCGCCTGTACGCTGTGGTGGGTGAAGACAAAGAAAGACAAAGGAGAGAAAGAAACATGGAGAGACAGAAAAGAGGGGTGAGAAGAGAAAAGGACATGACAAAGAGGAAAGAGTTCAAATGAAGCTGAAGCTCAAATATCTTCATATCTTATTGCACACAACATTCAGCTCAAACGTCATAGCGACTACTGTCACATTCACTGCTAGCAGCATTAAAACTTTGCTCAGCCATGATGGAAATGCAAAGCAAAGGCTTTTTGTCACCAAGCAAGAAGTGTCATTTACATTGCAGTCTAAAAAACATGACAACGTTTTTAAGTGATTAAATCCTTGACATGGGAGCAGAATGGTGTGACTGAATGAACAAGGCACTAAAATATCATCAAAAATCTCAATATTGCCTAATATTAGGTATCAGAACAGGGATTTCACGTCCAGTTAGCTATTGTTGCTTAAATACACGTAGAACCACTTTATGTGTTACACACTGTCGGCAAATGTAATAAAATGCTGCAGCAAATGAAGCACAGCATATGAACGTTGCAATGGTAGTGAAAATGGAAGGCTGACAACTGGCATAACTCACCCACTTAGCAGTAGAAGTAGAAGACACTTTGTGTGTGTGTGTGTGGTGGAGTGTGTGGTGTGTGTGTGTGTGCATATGTGTATGAGGCTTGCAGTTCCAGTGATCAAGTTGTTCAGGTTATGTTGTTTATTTTATGATTTTACCTGTAAAATTAAACAGTGTTTTATGATTTGTGTTCACAGGAAGTCTGTTCAAAACCCAGCTGACCAAATGTAGTTTTGAATCTGCAGTAATTTGCAGCCAAGCTATGTGGTGGAAAATGAGGCCTTGTAAAAAATGTCTTTTCGACTCATGCAGGCATGTATGTGTTATGTGCATGGAGCAGTAATAAGGCTTCAAGCTGGCGCTGATCATCTCTCTCTTGCTCTCTCTCTGGAGAGTGAGTGAAAGTGTGTGTATCCAACCTTTACCCTGAAGATATCGTCCTCAGATGCCGCCGACACAGGCTCCTTCAGGCCTTTATCCAGCTCCTCCTCCACTGTCAGGTCTCCAGAGATGGCCCTCCTAATCTCTGGACCAATGTCATGCAATGTCCGCAGGCCCGCCTACACACAGACCAAACACCATCAGCTTACTTTTACTTACTGATAGTTCATTCATACCAAAGAAGGCTACTATATACACGATATTTCCACTTCTTTAGGGAAGTATAAACAAAACTGCAGAGTGTACCTGCAGAGAGAGAGCAGTTTTCGGGGGCACCTTGGCCACCAGCCCTTGTTCTTTCCTCTTCTTGAACTTGCGGAAATATTCCTGGATGAGGAAGGTGGCGTAGAACTTTCCGACCGTTACCTCATCATCTGCAAAAAATGTAAATATTGTCATTTAAATAGGTTGTTGCTTCAAATTTTGAGTATTTTTCAGAAAATCTGTTGTAAGTGACGCAACAAAAGCAAATCACAGTGTGTAGAATAATGACTGTTGCAAGTGTTGTCGATATTAGCGCATATAAAGTTGTGTTGCAGAGGACACGCACCACCAGCAGGAGGCACTACTTGATCCAGTAGCTTCATGCTGGTTCTCTTCCAGATCTTCTTCACTATTGCCCTCAGCTCCTCATTAGCCTGCTCCAGGTTGCCTGCACACAGTCAAAGCAGTATTTTCACAGTTATGTTTGAAAAGCCTCAACACAGCCTCTGTTATTTGTATCTACAAGACAATACACTGTTTGTACATTTAACACTGAATCTAAGGATTTGCTCGATTATTTTTTGTGTCTTTTGTGTCATTGGTAAGTAAAATATTTTCACGACAAAAGAAGTTTTGGCTGATATAACAGAACAGACAGCAGCCAGATCAGGTGAGGCAGGTCCAGTGAAAGGCCTTAGCTTTAATAATCAGGTGACTAATCTGTATTAGGAGAAAAAGTGCACCAATCTGAATCATAACCCCAAGTCCCAACTTTTGAGAAACAGTCTTATGAATAAAATGTCACCAGTTTGACCCTGGAGGGAAAAATCTGGGTGGCAAAATTGAAAAAGCGATACCGAGCAAATAAAGATCAAAAGCTGATCATAACGAGATCAAGTCATTCCCATCTTATGCTCTCTGTATCTATATAACAATGTGCCTGTCATTGTGTATTTGTGAGGCTTGTTTTAGTGTTTTTCTTGTGTGTGTCTGTCACCTTCAGTCTTGATCCTGAGTGCGGTTCTGACCAGAGCAAACAGCGTGGCGTTGAACATCACTGTTCCGTCGCTGTTCAGAGGCATGTTCATCGACACCAGACGCTACATGAGACACAACACACACACACACACAGAGCAATGGGCAATTATATTAATAAACAGCTGCCAACAGACACTGGCAGCTGGCGGTTTGTTAAAAATAAAAACAGTAGTTTGACACTACGTACACTAATTTCCCTTTAGGGAGATCTTAAGAGATATTTCCTCTAAATGTACGATTTGTTGTCAGTGTGCCATTTGAGTCATTGTGGAAGGTGTTATAAGCTGTCCATATGTCATCACATTAATACAACAACAACATAGTGATTTGTATATATTTATCACTCATTGTAAACAGACAGTTTTAACCTGTAGTGCTGCTGCGCTACTTTCTACGTTAAGGTTGATTAACTTTTTCTGGTTTTGTCTCACTGCTGCAGCTCTTTGTTTGTGATTCTTGACCTTTGTTGATCACAGATCAGAGGGTTTGTACATGTAAGACACACTTGTTGTGTCACTGGAGGCTGGGCCGGGTAAATTACATTGAATATAAATACATTTTAAATATTAGAAACCAGGTTTTTGAGATGCTACTCTCATCTGTAACTTTTGATTGGCGTGTGAGTGCAGGAAAAGAAGTGCATAGTATTAATTAGTTTTTTGTTGTTGTTGTTAGTGTAGGATATTTTTAAGAGTAGCATTCACAGCCCTCCAATCCTTATTAATTTTGTGACAAAAACCTAATTTTCCCTTAAAATCAAAATCCCCTTTGCTACAACCATGAGCATCTAGTTGTTTATTTGTTACTTTCTTCTTGGTACAAGCCCCAAAAATAATAGGAGAATACACTCAAAACACTTGAATTTAAAAGCCTTTTGAAATATTCCAGAAGCTCTAGATTTGTGAGACTGTGTCAGTGTGTTTACCTTGCAAGCCACCCTGTGTGGACAGAGCTTTCCGAAGCCGAGGGGAGGCTGGATTCTCCGGAGCAGAGTCACCACATCGAGGTGCTTTATCCTCCCTCTGAAAACAGCACAGTTGTCACGTTATTGACAATCTTGACAGATCCTCTGCTGATGACAGCCTCATTATATTCTGATGGCACAGTTTGTCAGCTCTCTGTAAACTCACTTAGCTTCTGGGTCATATTCAGCCCAGATCCTCTTGAACTCATCAAGATGATGCGGCCCCAGGATCGACCAATCGCGCGTCAGGTAGTCGAAGTTGTCCATGATGACAGCCACAAACAGGTTGATGATCTGGGGGGAAAGTCAGGACTCAGTCAGGCGCTATACGATCACACTGTAATTCATAATTCAAATTAGCCCCATTTGATGTAGACTTGAACAGAAATTGTAAAGTAGTTTTCAAAAAAAACAAAACAATTGGCACCTTTGGGGAATATAATTAACTGCTTTTTGTTGAGAGCTAGATGAGACACTTCCTCTAATTGTAATGAATTATTTGTGATTACATAATCGCATTGAATATTCACATTTAAAAGCCACACATTTCTTGTCACGTCTCTGCACTCACCAGAAAGGCACAGAGCATGTAGAAGCTGACAAAGTAAATGATGGCAAACTGGCTGCCGCAGTCCTCGTTGGTCGTGCTGTTCTCATTGGTCGAACCTTTCTCGCACGGTCGATTGGGCGAACACGCCAGCATGATCTCCTGCCATGCCTCACCTGTCGCACATCTGATAGACAGTCGCATGCATACACCCGCACAAATATGCACACACATCAACGCAGATGCGTGCAAAGACACATGCATGTACAAGTACACGAAAGAAAGAAAGGCACAGAGGCACGAATATACACACACATACAAATGCATACATGTGTGTGTGTATGCGTACAAGCATACAAGCATGTAGTGACACACACACACACACACACACACACGCACGAATAATTGCAAAGACAAAAAGAGGAAGACACGCACACACATAGGCACAATTATTAGAGTGTGAACTGTATAAAAAGCAATTATGCAAAGGCTATTATGTCCTGAAACAATGAATTTACGTAGCAAATAATTCAGATTTTTGGGCTTTTTCTTGCATCAAACTACAGCTGTCTTCCATTCTGAATACTTCATCGCAATTAAGCTTATTCACACTGCAGCTGCTGTTTTGCCAGCAATTTCGGTGGGGTTTTGCCTGTTTGCTAGATCTAAAGTAAACTCCTTAATCAAACTGAGGGATTGATCGCTGATTTCCTCACTTTGGAATAGCAAATATGAAGTATCCAAGTACACTGCCTCTCTGAATGGAAGCCCAATCCTTTGATATATTCCATGTAGGGGTTTGTCCAGAACATGAACAGATAGAAACGGTACTTTTTTGAAGGTTTTCATCCCCCTGCATGGAATCTTACCATCATCGCAACCACACAGGACAGAGAAGTTTCTGGCTGTGGATCCAGACAGTTAAATGTATTATCAGTGGACTCCTCTGACAGAACTCCTCAGTGGATCAGAACATTTTGTGGTAAACCAGCGTCGAACCGTAATATTAAAGGGATCAATGTTTAATATCTACAGCTTTATAGCTTTGATTAAAGTCTCTGAATGTGGGCAGTTTCAGGGCAGCACAGTAAAAACTGACAAAACATTTTCTCACACCGGTTCTTGTGCACAGTTGGATACATTTACAGCTCGACATTTACAGACGTCCTGGCCTTGAATTAACCCACTGCTGTCATAAAATGTCAGTGATTATGCAAAATTTTGGAGATAAAAAAAAGCAAGAGTTATTGATAGAAAAGGGAGAAGAACGTGAATGCAGAGTGAGAAGAAAATTTGCATCCATGAGGGAAGAAATTAGGAAAGATGAGGGAGAAAAATATGGGAAAAGGCAGAAAGTATTCACGTGGAGGGCCGTAGTAATCTTCCTCACCTGAAGAGCAGCAGCACTGCCTGAGGGAATGTCTGGAAATTGTTGTTCCTGTTGATCTGCGTGGGGTCCCGCAGTGCTATCTTACCAAACATCTGTACAGGAGGGGAGGAAGTAGTCACAGCACACAGCATATGATGTCAGCATTGACAAGTGGAAGTCATTCAGAATTAGAGGCCAGCCGTCCCCAGCAAATCAAATTAAAGTGTCTCCCACTCAACATCAGAGAAGCAAACTATACAAGAGGAAACGAACAGAGAGAGGAAACGGAGAGACAAAGACAAACGATAACTGGATAGCAACGGGGAGGGGAGGAAGAGGTGGGGAGAAAAAAGACCAAACGGGAACTCTCGATGACAAGACTCCAGGAAGGACAGACACGGGACGAAGGCTTGCTGAAGGAGAGAAGGAGAGAGAGGACAAGGAGACAGACGGAGGGAGCTGGGGGGACAAGACGTCAGCTTACCTGCATGCCGATGACAGCGTATATGAAGAACAGCATCACTATAAGCAGAGCTACGTAGGGCAGAGCCTGAAGAGAGGAGACACACGTCAGTGGCAAGTCGGCTGCAGCGTTTTACTGCACCGAGGCTGGAGTCCATTCACTTTCATTCAAACCTCACACAGCTAATTACTCTACTTATGTTTCAGGAGACTGTTGATAAAAACTTTCAACCTCACTTGCTCTTTTTTAATTTTTTTTTTAAACGAGCAATTTCTTTTCTTGGCACTTCATGAAGTGAAAGTGAACAGATCAGCAGTCCTGCGCGGCACAACACCAAAAACAACCCAGGACAAATCATCTGACTTCGGAGCGAAAAAAAAAATCTCAGTAAAATACAAACTGCTCTCTTGGTTTAGCTGGGAGACCATTTCCAACATATTGTACAAGAACCAAACACAGCTAGAACAGATATTTCTTCTAGATTTACACACAACTGTTTAGAACTGAGCTCCAGGCTAATATTACCCCTGTGACTGGAAGAGCAGGGCCACATCATGATGAACAGAGCGAAAAAAGTTTGATTAAAAACGGAAACAGCAAACTAAAAAACTATCCATGTTAAGTACAAGAACGTATTCATGATTTTAAACTTAACATGAGTCCGGTTTTTCGCTGTATTAACAGTGTTTTGAATTTCCTCGACTGCAACATGAAGTGACCCGTCTCAGTTAACACAAGAGAGAGAGCAGATTATTTTCATTTCCCCACAACTCTCAAACAATCAAATGATTTCATTTTTTTGGTGGAGTGCTTCATTTAAACTTATCTAGCGCTTAACTACTGGCCTACAGGGGGAATGGTGAGCTCTCGAGGGTTAGTAATAGGGTGTAGGGTGTTTGAGAGAATAGAAGGAGAAGAGATGAGAAGAAAAAAATAGGGGAGAGCAGGAGAGAAAAAGATTGCTGGTTAAGATGTTTCTCCCTGTTTCCCAATTTCACGTCCCTACTTTCCTCCCTGCTTCTGCAACGAGACTCCTAAACCTCCTTTCCGTTGCCTCACGTCATCCCTCATTCTTTCTGATTTCTTCCTTTTTGAACCTCCTTCCCCATCTCCCTGACTTCCTGCACGAGTAAGACGTGGACACGAGGAGGGATGAGGCAAGGAAAGGAAAGGTGGCTTGTGAGACTCGACTCGGCTGGATTTACACAAGAACAAGAACCTTTTTAGCCCCATGTGTCTCAGATCTGAAATTACTGCACTATATTATTCATAAATAATAAATGCGTCTATATGAGTCCTTGTAAAAGGTATTAAATTTTAACACCTACAACCGGCAAACAAACCTCAAAGTCGCTACATCAAGTCTTAAAACTTGAAAAGGGAGAGTGTTCAAATAGATGTTTAGTGCAATCTGGGTCACATTTGGGTTAAACTCCACTGTTTGTGCACCACTTCTGTCCTGTGTAAACCCAACCCCCTGCTCTAGCATGTTGTGTCCGGTTCTCCCCTCACTTGGAAGGATTTGATGAAGGTCCACAGCAGGGTCCGAATCCCTTCCCCGCGAGACAGCAGCTTCACCAGCCTCATCACGCGGAACAGCCGGAAGAAGGTGATGGAGATCCTGGCGTTCTCTTCAGAGTTCTGCAGTCCCTTTTGGTGGGGTTTGGTGTTTTTTTTGTTTAGAAAAAAAACACAGGACGCATGGAAACACATGCAGATAGGTAAGGGAGGGGAAACACACACACACACACACACACGCGCGCACACACGCACGCAACCACACACAGGTATAGATGAACACATACATACGCACATGCATATACACACACAAACAAGTGTGGAAATACAGACATACAAGTAACATTTGTATGCATATTCCCACCCACACATAGATATGGGTGTAAATATGCATAACGCGCACACACACACACACACAAACACACACACACACACACACACACGCTGAGTTAATAAATGGAAATCTGCGTCCTACAAAATCCCATCAAAATCAACTGACAAAAGAGATCTTGGAGAGAATCGGGCAGTCATGCTTGTTTTTTTTTTTTTTTTGTGACTTCATGGAAAAATCACTTGGCAACAAAGAGATCAACAAATCATCCGCCGGCTTCCTGAAAACATCCGCTGCAGACTCTGTTTCCTTTTATAAACCGGATACATCGCATGTGACATTAACTGTCTTTAAAAGCAGCTAACTGATGTGTCTTTATATTTCTGACACCTAAAATCACCTCAACACAGGAAACACCCCTGACTGTTGTGTCTATATCTTATTACAAGTAAACCGAGCCTTGCACTGACATTTGACAAACATGCATTAAAATACTTTTGGGACCCTTGAAGTAAATCCTCCAACTAAGCTGAGGTATTAGATTATCCGGCGATGCTGTAGACTAAATATCTAATAGCTGAGATGAAGCCAGAGTCCTCCATCGATGGAGGTAAGCACTTTCCACAAATCACTGATAACAATTCACAGCAGACACAGTGCAGAAATTCCCGCCTGAAGGCTGATTCCTGTTTCAATAAATCATGCAGGCAGGCTAATTGTTTGTCTGTCACAGAGAAAGTGGCCACCTGAAAGAACAATCCAAATATAATATTCAGCAGGATGAAGATATTACTGCCCAATGCAGCCACTGCCACGTAAAAAATAATAATAAAAAAAATATCATATTTTCATGGGTGGCAAATCTCTTTATCTCGACCGTCTGTCTACTATAATCTTCCAGAAAGTGTTTTCACACCAGCAATCTTTTTATTTGCCGAGCTTCTTGCAAAAGAATATGCAACATTCGGCCCTCTAAAGGCATTTAAGCATTCGGTGTGCTCTGGATTGTTTTATCCAAAACTCATCTCAGTAAAGTTCTAAAGCGCAAGGTTAGGAGACACTGATTTCTAACTGCCTATTGTGCCAGTAGTCGTCCCCAGGAAATAACTCCATGATGAAATATTCAGTCATCTAGCTGAGTGCTATTCTAATACAGATTTATTTATTTATGCCGCTCCTGCTCGTTCTCGGGGACAAAAAGGCGGAAAAAACAAAGGCCACATCAGGGTTCGTGTACAGCATGATGCAGCTAATACGGGAGCAAAGGAGATCATCCGCCATTTATGCCACAAATTACAGATCAATCAGATGAAGCTGAGGATGCAAGTAGCAAATCCTCAGCAACCATAACTGCACTAATAACAATGCAAAACTGACAAGAAAATATAAAATAATCGACATCACAGAATAAACCAGAACAACCAGAATTATGCCACTTCCCTGCAATAATTAAACATGACCCCAAAGAATCAGCCTCTCTAACCTCTCCATGCCATTTGTGTTTTTCCAAGAAGCCATCAATTCTTTATGTTAATCCAACAGAGAACACACAGTGCGCTCCGACAAAGAACTTGCCATTCTCCACACATCTTACTGCAGTTTGGGACGACAGATGTCATACGTTACTTTCCAACATGATGCTGATCTGGTTTGGGAAATGTCACTGAAATATATCTATTATTTTGTAATTCTGGGATAACACAGGAGAAAGTTGGACACTTTCTAAAGGTGTTTTTTTTCTGATGAAAGTGTTGATAAGTAACTCAAGACATGAGTTGTCCCAAACTCCACGGACGGATGTGCTTAAAATGGCACATCCTTCTGAGGAGTGTAAATCACAGTTCTGTACTGCATGTAATATCACAGTTGGACCACAGTGGGCACCACTGCACCATTGAGAAAGAGTGGGGGGAGTGAGCGGAAGAGGTACAGTGACAGTAAGTGTAAAAGAGACAGAGAGCCAGAGAGTAAAAAGACAGACCGAGGATGAAGAGAATAGTTTGACAAACAAATTCATAAACAGACACATAGATGGAGNTGTAAAAGAGACAGAGAGCCAGAGAGTAAAAAGACAGACCGAGGATGAAGAGAATAGTTTGACAAACAAATTCATAAACAGACACATATAGATAGATAGTTAGATAGATAGATAGATAGATAGATAGATAGATAGATAGATAGATAGATAGATAGATAGATAGATAGATAGATAGATAGATGCGAGGTCAGTGGAGAAGAGTGATATAAAGAGAGACAGCGTGGTAGCGTGACCATAATGGCTTGTACTGATGACAAAGCACGATAGGTACCACACCCATAAGGGAAGGGGGCGCGACTTGCAAGCCATTGGGGATGGTGGGGGCAGCGGGCGCCATGGCAACAACAATAGCCACTTATACTAGGCCTTCACAATACAGCGTCCTTCACTATACGCACACACATATATATAAACAGATATATAGACATTTAAAAGTACAAAGCAACATAAGTCAGACTAACTGGGCATGCTGCAGGAGATAACAGCACGAGCGACGGGGGGGGGCGCGGGACGACAAGGTGGATGAAAAAGCCAAAAGTTCTGGATCATACCGTGGATGGCTTAGCAGAAGGAGGGATGGAAGGATGGAGGGATGGAGGGATGGTGGAGGAGGTAGGGAGGCGGACGAGGTTACCGTCGGAGCGTACCATTGGCCTTACCACAGGGGGGTGAGAGGAGGAAGAGGAGGAAGAGGAGGACGAAGAGGAGGAGGAGGAGGACGAGGACGGCTCAGCTGGCTTTAAGGAAAGGCAACAAAGATCAGCACCAGAGTAGCGCCTCGGTGTGTGTGTGTGTGTGTTGTGTGTGTCATTGTGTGTGTGCAGTGTGTGTGTTTTTGTTGTGAAAAGTAGTGAAAGTTTGGCACCAGCCCAGACAAAAAATAACTCCTGAAGCACCAGGCTGGTGAGAGTTCAGTCTCTGATCAACTCTCACATGGTGGTGGAAAAAAAAAACAAAACAGAATTTTATCTGAGCCAGCAGGGAGATTTCTGTGTGATATTGCTGCATATAGAGATTTGCCCTGTCTTCTGTGAAGGCCACATCAAGCTGAATCACTTCTTATCAAAGTAGGGGAAGATTGAAGCATGGAAGTGTGCGATATTTGTAAATTTCTGTGCAACGGCTTGAAGGCAAAAAATACTGACTGATGAAAAAGAAGCTGTCTGTGTAGGTGCAATGCTCGTATGTGGGTCTGTGAGCCTGTCGTGGGTTTGTGTGCATGATGGGGAATAGAGGGGCGCCTCTGTAGCTATCTGTTTTTCTTTCTGCCAGCTGAAGCTACAGTACAGAAACATTGGTTGAAGCTTTGACTTAACTCAGGCCCCATTTTTACCAAAAGCATCTCATATTGTTTCGGTCATTCCTTGATCTGAGAAAAGCTAAAATCAAAAATGAAATTAGAATAACTTGAACCTTGTGAAACAAAACACGTAGCTTTTATACAGATGGGTGACAAACAAACCCTTGGAACCCCAGGCAGTTATTGGGCATTTTTTACTCCTGTCTCATTGTTACTCACTGTAGATTAATTTTTTACTGCATATAAAGTCCTGCACCTCTATGGAAACAGGACAAACATAGAAGAAGTAAAACAATGTCTTTTGTGAAGTATGACACAATAATATCGCTATAAATCCTTAAAAAAAATTTTTAAAAAATGGAGTCAACATATACAGCATTTTCCCAAGTGCCCACAGTTGTTACTGATACTGGGAAGAAATGGTGACTACAAAATAGAACTATATTACTCGCATTGTTCTTGTCAGTTCAGCAGAGAATAGTTGAATTTTTGCTGTGTGATTGTTGGTCACAGCTAAATCACTAACGGCCTCATGGCTGCAATAAAGGATTTTTTTTTTATGTTGTTTACAGAATCTGATTTGTGCAAACAATCTATATTTGTCAAAATTTTAAATAACACATGTAGAATAAGGTGGTTTTTAAAGCTCAGACTTGGTTAATTTTCAAAAGGGAACTGCATGCCACACATTGATAGTTTAAGGATTGTTTTTATAGCAGTGCCAAAGGATGTTATTCGCAATTTGTAAACTCTGGTGGCTTTCAGGGTTCCATGGGTTAAAGGAAAAAGTGTCTTCATAAGGTATTTGGCCACCAGGTGCTGCCTGAACAGCTTCACTGCACCTTGGCATTGATTCTGAAAGTCTCTGGAACAACATTCTTCTAAAAAAAATCCCCCAATTGGGGGTTCGAAGAACACCGGGGAAAAGCACTGTCTAATAAGTCAGTCCAAAGTCTCCCAAAGGGTTGTGATTTGGTGACTGGGAGGGCCATAACAACTGGCATCAGTGTGGAAATGTTTCCTCACAGGATGAAGGAGGTAACTCAGAACAACTTTGCATTCAGAGGCTCTCCCCTCTAAAGAGGCAAGTAGGCCCAAACCATGGGAGCAAAATGCCCCCACAGCATAACAGAGCCACAGATTCCTTCACTCTAGGGGTCAAAGGTTCAGGTTTTCCTTTAATTTGTCACCCTGCTGCAAGTAATTGGTAATCTAATAATCGAAAGTTAACCAGACCATGACTTTCATGTATTTTCAGTTGAAGAAGCATCAGAATACTACAGTTAAAAAGTAAGACAACATATACATCTGGTTCCACTAATGACAAAGATGCACTGGATGCTTTTGGAAATCGGGGCCCACATGTGTCTATATAACACTTAGAAGCACACAAACTATACACTATAGGGGGACACCCACTGGTTGTCTCTGACATTGCAACACTTTGCACTTGTAGGAGTGAT